TAAGGAATTGAACTCAGGGTTTCATGCATGCTACACAAGCACTCTACCACTAAGCCATATCCCAGCCAAGATTATATATGCCTGCAATCCTAGATACTCAGGAAGCTGAGATCTGAGGATGGTGGTTCATAAACAGCTTGGGCAGGCAAGTTTGTGAGACTCTTATTTCTAATTAACCACAAAAAGCCAGAAGTAGAGCAGTGGCTCAAGTGGCAGAGTGCTAATTTTGAACATCAAAGCTCAGAGACAGCACCCAGGCCCTTAGTTCCAGCCCAGGATTGGCCAATAACAACAACAAAAAATTAGAATTCAGAGAAACTTCAAGTTCATGGATAGTAGGAGTTATTCAGTGCTATCTTACTGTTTTTTTTCCTCTGCTAAGCAACCCCTGAGTGATATACAGTCCCTCCAACCTGGCCATCTCTGGGCACCCCAGGGCTGGAGGAAATCTCCTTTGGGAGGACATTCGGATTTATTTTTCCAATGCTCTGTGATGTCCAACTGGAGAGTGAGAGCAAATAGCAATGCATGTGAGCACTCCAAACTTTGTTTTGAAGGGAGAAATAAGTTTAGAGTCTGTAAGGGTAAAGTTCTCCAAAAGGAGAGCCAGGTGATTTAGGCAGAAAAGAGTTTATTGTGGGGAGAGCAAATTGCTGGCCCGCACGGAGTGGAGGCATGCAAAGTGAAAAGAGAAGAGAGGGAAGAAGACGAGAGAAAGGGAGGGAACGTGTGGTTGTGAGGGTTTTTATAGGGAAAGGCGTGGAGGAGGTGTAATGACAGTGGAATGCAGAAGTGACCCCAGAGCCTGGGGAATCTCTCTCAGTCTGAAGAAGGCATGACTGGGTCAGTGTAAGAAGTGACCTCATGCAATTCCATTTGTCCAACCTTTCTTTGATTTGTTGTGTTTCTGGGTCTCTATTAAGAAAATTTCAGCCTGTGCCAAGGAGACCTAGGGTTTCTCCTATTCCATCCTGCAATGTTTTCAGAGCGTCTGCTTTGACTCCGAGGTCTTTGATCCATTTGTAGTTGATTCTGGTGCAGGGTGATATATAAGGAACTAGCTTTAGTTTTCTACAAGTGATTAACCAATTTTGCCAGCAACATTTACTGAAGAGGCTGTCTTTCTTCCACGCTATTTTTTTTTTTAGCTCCCTTATTGAAGATTAGATGGCTATAGGTCTGTAGGTTCATTTCTGGGTTTTCAATTCTATTCCATTGGTCCTGAGGTCTGTTCTTGTGCCAGCACCAAGCTGTTTTGATTACTATGGCTTTGTAGTAGAGTCTCAAATTTGGTATTGATATTCCTCCAGGAATGTTCTTTCTGTTGAGGATCGTTTTTTGCTATTCGGGGTCTTTTATTGTTCCATGTGAATTTTTGGATTGCTTCTTCTATTTCCTTGAAGAGTGAGGTTGGAATATTGATAGGTATCACATTGAATTTGTAGATAGCCTTGGGAAGTATTGCCATTTTCACGATATTGATCCTTCCAGTCCAGGAGCATGGGAGGTTTTTCCACTTTCTAAGTTCTGTTTTGATTTCCTTTTTTAGGTTTTTAAAGTTTTCATCATAGAGGTCCTTCACTTCTTTGGTTAATTCCTAAGTATTTTAGTTTTTGTGGGGCTATTATGAATGGAGTTGATTTCCTGACTTCAGCCAAGCTTTTCTCATTATTAGGTCAGATAAGTTGATGTTAGGTGAAATGAAACCCAAGATAAGTATTCAAGTGTTTTTTTTCTTTCATGTGATTGTTTCTAACATAATAAGATAATTTCTTTGTTGCTTTGTATGTACCTCCCCCATGGTATAACCCCTGCTTTCACTGTATTTGATGTTGGTATAATTTGTGGAGGAGAAGGGCAAAAATAAACCGTTTAAATAGGAATACAGGTGACCTCGGAGTCTGGGGTCCTTTGCTACTCATAGTCAGGTGATTGACAGTCAGGTGATTACTGGTTTCAGGCAAGTGATTTCTGGTAAGGCTTTGTGCTATCTTTCACAATGAGGAAGGAAGGAGCGGGCTGTTATCTGGGCAGGCCTAACAATAAGTCTAACAAATTAATTAAAAAACAAATTAATTTTACATAGCCTTTGAAGCCAGAGTAATAAATAAACTACCTTTATTGGAAAAAAATAAAACTCTACTGCTTAGCTTTTCTTTCCTATGTTGAGACTATAGTTTTTATGGTGATTTTTCTGTAACAAGATTTCTTCTGGAACACAATTTTTGACTCAGTCATAGACAGGCTGTACTAACTCCCTTTCCCCAGCAATCATTGGTACCATTGCATACTATTTGTTAATACCTTTGCTATTTTTATATGACAGAACATTGTTTTTCTTTGCATTTCTCTGATTGTAAGTATTTTCATGCATCAGTCAATTTTATTTCTTTATTGAATTGTGTCTTCTTACCATCTTCTTTTGGGATTTATGCTAATAACGTATGAAAGTTTTGTATCCAGTAAGAATGTTCCTATGGATTTCATTTATAATGAAGATGTTGTCTTAGTCAATTTCCTCTTTGCTATTAAAGTTTAGTTCAAGAAAATATATTGAGCTACCTGAACTCACAGAGGTGCCAGCAGGGCCAGGGCTACACACCACCCAGTATGGCTATTATGAAGAAGAAGATAGCACCTTTTACTCTTGCACCTGTGCTAGGCGCTGTCACTAAGCATTGTCTTCATGCTGCAAGTCCAGAGGTTTGTCACAAAGAAGATTAGCTGCCAACTACCATGGGGGGGAAAATACAGAATCCTTGCAGGGTGTTCAGACCCTCTATGTTAGTCAGTAGAGGAGGGCACAGGGCCAAGTTAAATCAATGAAACCTAAGCATTGACTTCTCAGATTATCCAGGACTACTCCATAACAGCTGTTCCTATCGGCTACTTCAGAGAAGTATGGAAAGCCCCCATGTTACCTCATGGGTACCTCAAACATATTGCATTCTAGCAGAAGCAGGAAGGGAGACATGGTCCCCAGCTGGCATCAAGCTTAGGGATAAAGTTTGATGGCTGTCCTGTATCTCCTGTGCTATTTTTACTCTTCTTGTTTTTTAAGTCCTATTTTATTGAGATTAAGTGATTACATAAATTTCACAATTTTCACAGTATTGTGGGATAGTGATACTTCAAGTCACAAACACATTTTAACCTTCACAAGGCAAATTGTTATTATCATGGTCTATGATGTTTGTGGCTTCTATGAGCTTTGACAATACAACTATTTCTTCCACATTAGGTGATGTGTACATTTCATTCCTTTTGCTTAGTGTAAACTGTTCCCTCTTTCCCTCTCATTCATTTACTCATTATAAAACTTACAAACAGAGGCTGGGAAGGTGGCTCAGTGGTAGAGCGCTTGCCTTGCATGCATGAGGCCCTGGGTTTGATTCCTCAGCACCACATAAGAAAAAGAAAAAAGCCGGAAGTGGCGCTGTGGCTCAAGTGGTAGAGCGCTAGCCTTGAGCTGAAGAGCTGAGGGACAGCGCCCAGGCCCAGAGTTCAGGCCCCACAACCGGACCCAAACAACAACAACAACAAAACTTACAAACATAGATAAACCTGAAATTCATTTTAACCTCTTTAAAGAACATACAGATCACTAAGTATTTTCAAGAGCTTCCTGTAAAATTTATTTCTAAATTTGTTTACTTTCTTTCCAGAAGAAGTTTCCATATATTATTTAAGTTTTGTTCATCTTTTGTAGATATAGTTTGCAAATGAATTCAGATCCCTCTTTCTTTAGCTGGAAGGATGACCTTTGAAAACTCTACAATTAAAATCTAATCTATGACTCCTGCAGATTGAGGGTGGCAGGAAAGGTATAAATGTTCCAAACTTGTTAAATGGTAACAAGTATAAATACTTGGGTTACCTATACCAAGAAATACCTGCTATTGCAAAGTGCTTATGGGAGAAAAGCTAATGTTTTACCTGGGCTCATTACATGCTAATAAAGGGAATTTATATAAATTTTGATCCCCAAATATACTATTTCATAAAAAGTGTGTTTGTCTGGTTACTAGGCTCCAAACAAACACATCCTTTACAGAAGTTTTCCTCAGAACAAGGAAGAGCATGCTGGGTCTTTCCAACTTAGATTATGCAAACAGAGGTTTTGACCAGTTGTGTGACATTAGACAAGAATATTGGAGTCAACTTTGGTCTCTCACATGATTGTTTTGGATGAGACAAAAGGTAAACCACCGAGTAAATGCTGTACAAAGGATTTGTATAACTTTGCATGTAGACATAACTTCAGAATGAACTGGTTTCAAGTGAAGAGCACAGATGACTGAAGGACTGCATGATATTTTCTATGAGTTAATTGGCTGCTTTGCATTGTTATGAACCAGTCACTGTGCTCTTCCTGCAAATTTTAAAGTCCCACTGCTTCTTACAAACTAACCAGTTATAGAATTCAGCAGAAAAGCACATGCCTTCCTAATGTGGAGAGAAAAAGTGGAAGCAATACTGAGAAGAATCATTGTACTCTATAAAAGGTGTCGTTTTTATCACCGAGAACATTAATGTTATCAATGTTGAGTCAACATAATAATACTAAATCCAGATCATATCATCTTACTTATCTTATCATCATATCATCTTATTATCATATCATGTTACTCTTGTCTTCAAGAGTAAGCAAGTGAATTCTTAATATTTAATTGCCCTTTGGTGATTCTATTAGATGCAAATGACTCTTTCATGCAAGGTATGCAAGATTTTTAAACATGTAAATGGAGTAGAAGCCTAACAGGTTTTATAGAATGAATAACACACAAGAATAAAGAGATAAAACTTTTATTAGCTCAATTAAAATGAGAAAAAATAGGTGATACAAATCATTTCATTGCCATCATAAGCAATTCACAAGACGAAGCTGGATTTAAACATAAATGCATTCAATTTTATAGATTATTAGTTGAGTTAAGCATCAAGCACTGAACTCATATATATATACACATACCTATATATATATATATATATATATATTTAAGTTCTACTGATTAAGTTGCAGCTGTGCTGTCTCCCTAGTACTGAATTACATTTGTTTCTTGGCAATGATCATGTTAACGGTGATTGGGTCAGGAGCCAGCCTGTGCTTTTGAGGGAGGAAACACCTCTTGTGCCCATCAGAACGAGGCTGTCACGGTCCTGCCCTTCAGAGGCTGGGGTGGCCGGTTGTTGTGCAGTATGGGGACAGCAGGCTCACCTTCCCCACTGGAAAGAATGCTGCGGAACTGTGCCAGCTAGAAGGATGAAATGTGGAGAGAATCACAAGCTATTCAAGTCACATAAAACACTTTCCTTCCAGGGAATTAACAACCAGTGTATAGAAAACTGAGATGAGAACTGTCCTGGCTTCACCATTGGGTAGGAAGGAAATCCTAAGTCCTTCATCCTCTGAACTCATCAGTCTTGCTTACATTATGGATGACTGGGTTAGAAAGCCAAATTTCTCACTTGTGATCTTGGGTACTCAGTGAATGAAATTTATGAGCGTGGTGCCTCACTTTCCATGCAGTTCTACCTACTTTACAGATTGCTGGCAAAATGAAATACATGCATGCATGGGAAGTACCTCCAATGCTGACTGGCAGTAGGTGCCCAACAAATATCAGCTAGCAAGAGGCCCCAGTGTTGGTCCTGTGCTATTGCCATGAAAAATGGCTGACAGAGTGCGTAAGACACTGCGTAAGAATAGTTTTTTGATTAACAATCCTTATGAACAATAATTATTATGATATTTTGTTGGATATTTAAAAACTGAAGCACAAAAAAGGAAGAAAAAAACAACCGAAGATTTTTGTCAATTATTAAAGTATACTGAGAGCTGCAATTTCTCAGAGTTTGAGTAGAATTTGCAATGACAGTTTTTCTTTTGTGTCGGAGATTCAGAACTATGCTCTACTTATTTGGGCCACACACCTTGCCCTTTTTTTTTTTCCTCTTGAAATTCTTAGAGGGTATCTAACAACATTAGGCTTAAAAAAGAATAGTGGGATTTTGAAATTTCATGTCTCTTATTTTCTTTGTGAAACCAGTATTATCATATGTTTTTGATTCTCCAAAAACATAGTTAATGTAACAATATCCCCTATTGATAGTGTCAACTGAAGTGCGACTTCTATTCACATTCCCAATCCCCAGGCATTCACCTTTGATACACTACCTGCTCTGAGCTGACACTGATGTTCTCCTTACAGATGAACCAGAGTACACTTTCATGAAGAGGGGGATGAGTCAGAGAGCCTTCATAGGTCCAGTAATCCAGGGATGAAGGAAGGAGAGTGGAGGGGTCAAAATTGGGGAATGGGGCTCGTTTGCCCTGTGGGAATATATATATATATGTATATATATTATATATAATGATGTACACACGTCATTATATGAAATATGTCATATTTATGCTATTGTTTTTTAAAATACATTTTAATTGTGAAAATACCGTACAGAGGGGTTACAGTTACATGAGCAAGGTAATGAGTACATTTCTTATCCAACATTGTTGCCTCCTCCTTTGTTTTTCCCCTATCATCCCTTCCCTCCCACCTCCTCAGCTAAACTCCCCTCCCCCTCCCCCCTGCCTAAATTGTAAAGTTCGTTTTTCAACATTATGTTATTATCTTTTATGCCAAGAGATTTTAGCTAATAAAAGTAATATATGACTTCATTAACTCAGGACCCAGGTGCTGTCCCTGAGCTTCTTTTTGCTCAAGGCTAGCACTCTACCACTTGAGTGACAGCGCCACTTCTGGCTTTTTCAGTTTATGTGGTGCTGAGGAATCAAGCTTAGGGCTTTATGCATGCTAGGCGAGCACTCTACCACTGAGCCACCTTCCCAGCCCCTTCTTTTCATATTTTGAAAAGACTCATTCTAAGGAGTTTTTAACTATTCAGTCTCATTTTACAATACACTCAAAATCTAACCTGTTCTAGAATTGCCATAAAACAAGTTTATTTTACACAAGAATGTGGTAGTCATCCAAACATGGACAAATGTTCTAACACTTGCTGTTAGAACAGTAAAGTAATGTTGGTTTTCTATTTCAGAAAATCCATTTGCGTTTTGAATTTAGTTGGGAATCCTTGTTAGTCAATAGCATAGATTAAGGATATATCAGAACACTCTTTATTCTTAAAGTTTTGTACTTCTGAAAAATAGATATCTTTCTGCTTGAAATGAAAAACATTTACAGTTAAGTACATGTTTTCAAGCAAGTCTGAATGACTAACCTATTCTTCAGTGGACCTGCAATCAGTAAACAATATGAAAATTACATATAACAAGTCCCTGGGTCACAGTTTCTCAGACTCTAGCATATCTTAAAAATACCTTACTATCACATTGGTGGCTTTTAAACCAGCCTTCCTGCTACCCATTTCAAATATGTAACTACATGACTTGTATATGTTTGTGGATTACTGTTCTCAGAATTACACATTAGTTTATTTACCTTGGTTTTAATTGCACTTAGGGCATCAAGTATTTTTTGCAGCTTTGGATTGGCCTGACCAACCTGGAGAGTAAAAACAAAGTGTGAAATAAAGATTTTCATCAACAGAATATTGACTATTTAGTTACTTTTTATTATTGTTTTCAAGTAACAAAAATAACTGAAGAGAGGTAGCTTATTTTCTCTCTGCTTTAAAAGAGGAAGTTTCATTTCATGTATGTCTTTTGGGGTCCCTGTATTCTGCAAATTATAAAATATAACCATAGATGAAGTACCAAACAAAATTCTTGGCATACATTTAATTAGGAGCAAGGTATTCCAAGCTACACAAGACAAAAAAAAAAATCAAGAAATTCAGCAAAACCTTACTACAAAAATCAAACCTTTTAGTTTTGGTCTGTAGTTACAGAGCAACAGGAGTTAGAGTTATTACATTTTTTGCATATTCAGAATGGTCAATAAAGATGGACTTAAATGATTATAAGTATAAAAATTACTTACTTGTCCCCAATTTACTCATATAATCATATTCAATTTAATGATAACTTTCTTATGGAACTTACCAGTGACTCTTTAATAGAAAAATTACACACCATCTACTTCATTTAAGAATCAATTGAAATCTACAAAGGGGTATTTTTTTTTCCGTGATGAGATATTAAATTGATAAATTTCTGAGTCTATCAGGAAGGACTCAGAGAAAAAGGAATTTGGAAGAGTCAGAAAAATAGAAATTCCATTTTCCCCGTGACACCTTCCTAGACTTAATTTCTCTGAGGGAAAACAAGAAATACAAGGCCCCAGAGTACGAGGAAACTTTCATGTGTAGCCAATCATAAGTAAAATGGGAACTTCCCCTTTCCCTCCCTAAAAAAACCTTAAACGTTGTTTGTTTTATATGGCTGTATCCTGAGACTTAATTGGGAAGAAAGAGCATTATCAGAGCTAGGTAACTCTCCATAACTCACCTTCATCAAAACACCAAGAATCGCCAGCCCATCGGGCTTCGAGGAAGCTTCAATGCAGCTAGAGTACTTGGCAGAGTTCCAGTGAACTAAGTGAAGCTGCAGATGACCATATGGTTGATTCATTATTTATGCATGGGTAAAAGATACAGAAGGCATTTTACAAAGGTACTTTGAGAGTAAATAGGTTAACAGTTGAGGATGTATTTTGGTTAGGACAAAATGAACCTAAGACTTTATCCAGTGAGTAGGAAGGGCTGGATTCCATTATGGGAAAGGAGGTACAGTCAAATAAGACTGTAACACCCAGAACCAATAAGTAAAACTTTCTTACAGTGTCACTGTTCAATATTGCTCCCTTTGACAAAAATCTCTCTTTCACATGGAAAGATCAGGGAATCTGATTGACTTTAGGACAAAAGCAGAAGCCATTTATTTCCTTTCACATAAAGTAATTCATATTCAGTTCACAAGGAGAGTTCATGGACTGCCTGGGAATCTTGGACTGTCTGTTGTATACATCAGTGTCCTTTTCAAGCCCTTCACAAAATGACATCTGTATCCTAAACTCTTGGCAGAACTTGGGATCTATTTAGACAAGTATGTATCAAAAAGTTGATTCTCTTTTGATATCTCCATGTAGATATCTCAAAGTTAACATGGTCAAAGTATAACTTAATTTCTCATGCCAAACCTGCTTCATTTCCTCTTCTTGGAAAAGGTGCATTATTCATTTAACTATTCAATCAAAAAGTACCACCATTGTCAATTCATTACACCAGTATCTATATTTCATAGATCATACCTGCTTACTTGTTCATATCTTGAGATTTTACTTAGGCACTGATTTTTTTCAGGAATTTTCTTCCACATAATCTTGAATAACAGTACTGTCTTGAATTTAAACAGAACTCAGTGATGCCCCTCAAATAGCACTGTTTTTGTTTTTGATTACTAAATGTATAGCAGCTATCTTAAATCAAATCAGTTTTTTTCCATACCACCATTCATCTAATTCCTCCCTTCCTACCCTCTAACTTTATCTCACTATTTTTCTTCTTCTCTCTCCTTCCTCCCTGTTTCCCTCCCTCCCTCCCTCCCTCCCTCCCTTCTTTCCTTCCTTCCTTCCTTCCTTCCTTCCTTCCTTCCTTCCTTCCTTCCTTCCTTCCTTCCTTCCTTCCTTCCTTCTTTCCTTCCTCTTTCTTTCTCTCTCTCCCTCCTTCTTTTCTCTTCTTCCTTCCTTCCTTCCTTCCTTCCTTCCTTCCTTCCTTCCTTCCTTCCTTCCTTCCTTTCTTTCTTTCTTTCATTCTTTCTCTCTCTCTCTCTCTCTCCCTCCTTCTTTTCTCTTCTTCCTTCCTTCCTTCCTTCCTTCCTTCCTTCCTTTCTTTCTTTCTTTCATTCTTTCTCTCTCTCTCTCTCTCTCTCTCTCTCTCTCTCTCTCCTTGACTGCTTGCTTTCCTTTTTTCTTTCTGTTACTTTACCTCCCTCCTTCCAAAGTTTTTCTTCCTCTTATCAAATAAGTTCTGGAAGAAGTTTCAATATACCATACCATAATTGTTCAATAACTAATTATTTAATGAAAAGAGACTAAATTAAATTTTATTTAGAAATGTTCTTCTAAAGAGAGATTACATTTCTAACTGAAATATTATCACATTGTATTTTCTTCTCCCCATATCAGTCTAGATTTTGTGGCTGCTCTTTTTTTTTTTTTTGTCGGTCGTGGGACTTGAACTCTAAGCCTGGGCGCTGTCCCTCAGCTCTTCAGCTCAAGGCGAGAACTCTACCACTTGAGCCACAGAGCCACTTCTGGTTTTCTGGTGGTTTATTGGAGATAGGAGTCTCACGGTCTTTCCTGCCCGGGGTTGGCTTTGAACCGTGATCCTCAGATCTCAGCCTCCTGAGTAGCTAGGATTACAGGCGTGAGCCACCAGTGCTCGGCTGTGCCTGCTCTAAACTGAGTATTTTACGGCTATTTTCCAATGGTATTTTGTGAATATTTATACTGCAATTTACTATTATATTTATTAAACACAATCCTTGCTTGTGTCTTATCTGAAGAAATGATAGTAATATTACTAAGCACTATGTAAAAGGAGCTGGCTTAAGTGGGCTTTTTATGGGTTTATTCATGGCATTCTTTCAACAATTGTGTAAATTGATATTATTCTTATAATATCTAACAATATAATTAGATGACAGAAGCATAGTGATATACCCAAAGTTGTATCACTTATAAGTAGGCACAACTTTGATTCAAGTCCCAGGAGTTGGCTGAGGAGCTAGTTAGCTGTAGAATCTGATGTGTAATCTCATGTAAATTCATTGAATTAAATAGAATATTAAACTCTGTGTCTAAGTATTGCTTATCACTAATATGGATTGTTTTTATTTTTCTCAATTTATGTCAGGGAATAGCTTATTTATTTTTTTGGTTACTACCAAGTATCATTCAAAAAACAATATTAATATAGACTTCCTGCTCAGCTGATTTTAGTTTACTGGAAATAAACATTGAATAGACCACGATAGCATTGAAAGGCATTACTTAATGTTTGCTATATAACATAAAGCAAGTTATATTTAAATATAGTTCCTTAATCCTGCCTCACAATGTAATACATATATTTTATAACCTAGCAATATCTCTTGTGGACAATTTATACTACATATTTATTACATTGGCACATAATATACAAGTATGATATATTTATTACAGCATTCTAGAGAAATAAAAACTCTATTGAATAAAATCAGAAGACATTATAATTACTGACCAGTAGAGATGAGTTATGCAGTTGAAATTCTATACAGATATTTTCAAAATAAGCAGAATTAAATCTTCTGACTCAATAAAAATGATTATGATAAATTGGTAAGTGGAAAAAAGCAAATTTCAAAACTAGATGTACTATGGAGTTCATTTTACCAAAGAAAAGCTAAAAAGGTAACTTTTTATGGTTACACTTGTAATTTCTATTTAAGCAGATAAAAAAACAAAGACTCTCTCCTTTACATCTTCCAGACTTCCTATGGAGTTTGATGCATGTGTGGTCAGCTTTTCTGTGGAAATGCAGGTGTAACCATTGCTGATTAAATCTGAGCCCTTTGTCTTACTAAGTTTTTTTCCTGGCCACACTTAAGCTTTATGTTTAGATCAAAAGAGAATAGTGGGTGTGTCCATTTGGGTAAATGTGTCCATTTAAGGGAAAGCAGATCCAGCCATTCAAGCTAACTTTATGCTAAGGCAGTAATTTTTGAGGCATTTTCAGGGAAATCTTGAACTAAGGATGTTGCTCTAGCTTTGTCTTTTCCCATGCGAAAAATTTCCCTTGAATGGTTAACATTTTTGTCTCTGTGTTTGAGTTTAATTGAGCCTGGGAATCTTTACAGAAACTGGCATGATCATACCTTTTGGGCCATTCAGATAGTGACTTACATAGTAACTGAGCTGTTTCTTGGAGTATTGGTATATTTGTCACTTAATAATTCACATTACCTCAGCAGCATATTTGACTCCATCCACGGTGTGCTCAGAACCATAGTCATTGGTACTGCCCCAGTGGAAATGGAACTGAATGAGCCTGTAACTTTCAGACAGTGGACCGCCTTTCAGCACTGGAAGACAAGGGAGGTCTTAATTAGCTCATAAATTCTGGCCTATCTTTGCATTTCATATAAACCAACACTACTGTGCCAAATAGCCATGAAAATAAACACCAGAGCCAAAGTTTTTGTCTTGGCCTTCTGATCTTTCATCCATGAAGATGATATTTGTATGTATGATGCATTGTAGCGAAGTCTACGAGGGACACACAACTTTACCTGTGTCTACCATGAAAGCACATTGCCAAGTGAACTAATTATGTGCATACAAGGTTTTCTTTGCATTTCCTTTGGTGTGCACGTTTGTTCAGTTTTTCAACAAAGAACGTGGGTAATGGGCAACAAGATCAATAGTAGCTTATTTTGGGTAACAGAATCCTCATCACATATTTTTGTATGTAATATACAGCAGTATATCTTAACAATCTTGTTGAGAATGCTAAGGACCAAAAGACCACTGCTTATGAGGAAAGGTCTTTTAAAAATGTATACTTGAGTTGTGCGCTGGTGACTCAAGTCTATAATTCAAGAAAACTCAGGAGACTTCAATCTGGAGAGGATCATAGTTGGAGGCCAACCAGGGCAGAAAAATTAACAAGGCTCTGTCTGAAATAACCAGCCAGAGGCAGGACTGGAGGAGAAGCACAAATGAAAGAATGTCAGATTAGCAAGTCCCATGCTCTGAGTTCAAACCCTAGTACCCTTCTGCACACACACACTTTTTTCTGCAATTAACCACCAGAAAGCCAGAAGTGGAGGTGTGGCTCAAGTGGTAGAGTGCTAGACTTGAGCAGAAAAGCTAAGTGAGAGCATGAGGCCTTGTGTTTAAACCCCAGTAAGGTAACATCACTCCATTCCCCCACTCCCAAAGAGCTTACATCGAAATGACCTGTTATTTTGAGTCTGTCCAACCATATATTTACTTACACACACTTAACATGAGCCTTAATCTAGTACTAAAAAAGAAGAAAGAACCCTGAGATGCCTAAAATTTGGCTAAAACAAGTTTGTCAAATAAGTTTGACCTTTTATGTCAGTCAAACTGTAGTCTGGAATTGTTAACAAAATATTCAGTAACTGTTTATGTGAGAATGATTCAGTCACCCCTCTTTCTGCTCCTCACTATGCTCATTCACCCTCATTCTGATAACAATGTTTTTACTTTTTTCTGTTTTCATTTGCTTAACAGAGCTTTGTGAAGAAACACTCCTTACTCCTGAGAGAGAGGAGAAGAGAAGAGATGAGAGAATTAAGTGTGAAGATTGTGAAATGGCCACATGAGAGGGAGGCACTAGGAAGATGAGATGAAGGAAGACACAGGAGTTTTGAAAACCATCTCTACAATTTAGGCAATTCCTTTCTTCCTTCCTTCCTTCCTTCCTTCCTTCCTTCCTTCCTTCCTTCCTTCCTTCCTTCCTTCCTTCCATCCTTCCTTCCTTCCTTCCTTCCTTCCTTCCTTCCTTCCTTCCTTCTTCCTTCCTTCCTTCCCTCCCTCCCTCTTCTTTTTCTCATCTCCCCTCTCCCCTCCCCCACTCTTCCTTGTCGGGAGTTTGAACTCAGGGCCTGGACAATGTCTCCGAGCTTTTTTTGCTCAAGGCTAGCACTCTACCACTTGAGCCACAGCTTCTGGCTTTTTCTGTTTATGTGGTACTGAGGAATTGAATCCAGGGCTTTATGCATGCTAGACAACCACTCTGCCACTAAGCCACATTCCCAGGTCTATTTAGTCTATTTCTTAGAAGCCTAAAATGCCTTCTAGATTACAGCAATGTTTTGCATAGCTACTTAAGCACTTTATTTTAGTTTTCCTGGTAGATTCTAAGAAAAAAATATAAGAGAATAGTTTCTGGGCTTACCTGACTGGGTATTCTCCTCAAAAGTTACATGGAAAGAATGTCCCACATTGATTATATCTTTGGCATTGGCTGGATTGTAGGAGACACTGAGAGGTTTCAGAGAAGTGTCATGCTTGACTTCACTGGTTTTGATATCAATAGGAGATTGTTTATTTCCATTAGCAATGGGATACGTCTTGCTCCATTGCTCGGGACCTACCAGGACAAACATGCATCCAATTAAAATTTTATAGAATGATTTATTTAGATGTGTTAAATTGCATTTTGTTTACCATAATGAAAATTCTCAAGAGAATTTTTTTCAACATAACAATATATTTGTTAACACTAAAAATATAAATATATATGCACAGCCTATTTCACTTTTGAGGAAGATATTTCTAATATGTACATATCAAATACATTTTGCAGATACTTTACCCAAAGATCATCTGCTAAATAAACTTACAAAGATATTGTTGTTATTCAGAACTGGCAAAGCAAACCATTAGCCTCTGCCAATTCAGTTATGTTAAATGCTTAACCTTGGATTTAAAAGAGGAGTAAGTTAAAAACTTTGTTTCATAGGAAATGAAGTAATCTTACCATTTTTGGCATCATATCCCCAGTCTGCCATGCTCTTCTTGTCAGTTTTCTTTTCCTGAAAGCAAAAATAATACCTGGAATAACTCCTACAACTGTGTGTGCAGGATATCTTAAACTATCACTTGGGGTTTTTATAGGAACTTCTCTGTCTTTAATGGGTCACTGTTTCATAATCTCTGCTTATCAGGAAGTATAATATCTAAATAAAAGGTGCTATAAAGTGTCTACAGGGTTAGGTCAACTGCAACTATTTTATTTCACTATATTATGAAAACTAAATACCAAAATCACAGATTTTATTGAACCAAATCCTGTTCCTTTTATGCCAAAAGGCAATATGGATGAATATGATCCTCTCCAACTCTTAGGCTTCCTAAATTGAAAATAGCTCATGCACTTAAGATTTCCAGTTATAATCTTATTAGGTACTTAAGTGATACTAGTGGTTGATAACTTAGTAAGAATGTTAATTTGCATATGTACAGGCTGATCTGAGCAAGTATTATGTTAATTTAGAATCAGGTAATAAAATTAGTAGTTATTCATAATATATTATTCATAAGGAGTATGTTTTATACACATACAAGGTTAAGATTTACACTCTATATGTTTTGACCATAGAGTAACTCATCATTAACTAGAGTCACCTTGCTGTATGATAGATGTCTTCAATTTATTCTTCCTATCTAAATGTAATTATACATGCTTTCAATCAGTCTGTTTCAACTTTAAACATCCATATTAATCAGCAGATTTGGGGAAAGACAACCTCTTGCCATTACATTATTACAGGATGAGTCATCACATGAATGTTTTAATAGTTATATGGGACGGTTATTCATTTAAAGTTTTAGGTACCAAATTACTTTGACTCTGAACTATCATGACTCCTTATTTTATTACGTACCTAGGGTGTAATGGAGTAATCCCACAAGGAGAACATTATATATAGAGAGGATGTAAAATTCAATAAGCACCCTATAATTTAAACCCAACATTACTCCCATTTACCTTTACTCTTCATTTTTTTTTTGCTCACAAATTGCCTCTTTCAGTTTAATATCTGCTCCAAAAACTAAGATAAATGTGCACTCATTTCATCTCCCCTACACACATCTCCCAGTGTACTCCTTTCAGGATGGCATGCTTAACTTACCTTCAGACTACAACCAGATGTTCAATCTGCTCCTGTGCTCCTCTACTCAGATTATATCTTAAGTCACCTAATGCATACATACATAGAAGAAATCTAATTTTTCTTGATAGTTCTAAATCAACCCAATGGCACTTGAAGCTTGATCAGGAGCTACTAAGCTGATGAAAAAATCTATAGTTTTTGAAAAGTGATGCAGAAGTGTTCAAATAATTTTGACACAGAAACATTTAATTGGTGACAGTAAGAAGTGTGCTAAAAATTTTCCACTATTTAAAAGAATTATTTCAACAGTATATTAATACTAGAAGAAGACAGCTAGTAAAGACTATTGTACTATGTGATTTTTTTTGTTTCTTTGGTATGTTCTTCCTCCTATGGTATATCCCTGTTGTCACTGTATTTGATTTTGGTACCTTGCATCTTGTAGATACTTTTATCTAATTTTGGGAGGGGAATGGGAATAATAAAATGCTGAAACAAGGACACAGGATGACCCATTGCAACAATGATACTCACAAGACACCGTTTTGGAAATGAACTTTACAACTTTAGATGGGGGAAGAGTGAGAGAGGTGGGGGAGGGAAAGGATCATAGGAGAAAAACAAAAGAGGAGTAACAATGCTTGACAAGAAATGTACTCATTTCCTTACTCATGTAACTGTAACCCCTCCATACAGCATCTTTACAATAAAATAAAATATTAAAAAATGTATAGCTAAATTTGAGATAACCCAGAAAATATTTAGGAGTTTTTATGCATTTCTTATTTTTTTTCTTGTTCCTTAGGTAAATATTTTCCTTTGATCCATACTTTTAATACTACAAAATTAAACTGCAAATTCTTAAAGGGGTAAATAAATTACAGTAAGTTTAAAATTTAAAATTTAAATTAAAGTAATTGTTTGGTACAGAAAAAAATAAAATATATGAACAGTGCCATGCCTATTTATGGCAGAGACCTGCTAAATGTCGCTGAAAAGTACAACACATACCTTAGGTCCTCATTCAAAATCCATTCACTAGTCTACAGTGCTAACTAATACCACAAGGATAAGCAACTTACCTGGAATTCAGATTGTATTAGCCAGCTGTCTGCCTGTCTTAGACACTGAGATAATTAAAGATTCTAGTCCAAGATCAAGTGGCACCTCTTTCAGGCCTCTGGCAAGAAGCACACAATTGTGGGAGTATGTGATAGAGCAAACCAGAAGGGCCAAGAACCAAGACTGGAGACCATCAGGCTCTTAAATCTCCTACAAGGCTCATGCCTGTAATCCTAGCTACTCAGGAGGCTGAGATTTGAAGATTGTGGTTCAAAGGCAGCTTGGGCAGGAATATCTATGAGACTTTTATCTCCAATTAACCACAAGAAAACCGGAAGTGGCACTGTGGATCAAGTGGTAGAGCGCTTTCCTCGAGCTGAAGAGGTTAGGTACAGTGCCCAGGCCCACAGTACAAGCCCCAAGACCGACCCCCGCCCCTTCAAAAAAAAAATCCCCTTCAAGAATTCTTCCAGTGACCTAAGGACTTCTCAGAGGGTTCTAACTCCTAAAGATTCACAGCACCCCACAATAATGCTAAAGTTTAGTATATAAATCTTTGGGGGACATCAGGTATGCAAATAATGGAACACTTTTCCTATGATGAGGAAATATGCATTGTAATCATTGTATCATTCATATATTTGGCATTAATTCACATTGCTCCTTAAATTCCATGCCCTTCTGGAAATGATGTTATTTTGGCGGGGGAGGGGGGGGGCAAAAGAAGCCTTATAGAAACTGATGACATTGGTGGTCTGATCATTTCCTTACCAAGATAAGTAGGGATTTTACTTAATCGATTTAAATAGCAGGATGATTTACCTAGATTTTACCTCTATCAATTCCTCTGTTTATCTTTCTCTTCACATAACCAAGATGAGCCACCAGCTTCAGTTTTTCCAGTGGGTATCTTGTTCCCATGTTAGGGCCTTTTTTTCTTTTTTTGGGTCCGGTCGTGGGGCCTGAACTCTGGGCTTGGGCACTGTCCCTCAGCTCTTCAGCTCAAAGCTAGCGCTCTCCCACTTGAGCCACAGCACCACTTCCGGCTTTTTTTTTCTTTCTGCTTATGTGGTGCTGAGGAATCGAACCCAGGGCCTCATGCATGCAAGGCAAGCGCTCTACCACTGAGCCACCTTCCCAGCCCAGGGCCTTTTTTCTTAATGTCCTGCCATCTGGATACCCATATTTTTGCAAGGCTCACGAATTGCCTCCTTTGAGATGACTTTCCTGACTTCCAAACCCAACATGCCCTCCTTCTTCACAATCACTCCGTTCTATCGTTCTGTTTTATTTTTTTTCATGACATTGGCTGCATTCTTATTTTCTCTGAGTGCTGAGGTTACAGTCTTTATTTTAAAATTTCAGATTTTGAAATACTTTGGATTATATACTTTCACATTAGTCCTATTCCACTGATAATATCGAAGTAACACAAGTTTTAAAAAGAAATGTAATGCCTCCAAGGCTTCTACTCTCATGTTCTTTGGAGAAGGTATGCACAACCCATGTTTTGTTAGTTTTCTTGTTCAGTGTCTAACTTTCTCTAACATGGTACTCTGTCATGACGGGGCTTTCATCCCTTTCTCACCACTGTTCCTCCTTCATTTTGACTGGTCTGGAAAACAATAGTGCTCAGTAAAATGGCTCTAGTGAGAACTACTAAATGATTACTTTTGTAATCACTTTTTTTTTTAACCTCAAATATTTTGTCTTTATAAAGACTTAGAAGGGCAGAATGCTCAGCAGGAAAGATGTCTAATCAAACTCACTGTGCTAAACTGCAAGGTCTGAGACACTGGTGAGCTTTGCTGGAGGTAAACTCATGAACTTATTTGGATTAAGGAGAAAGAACCTTTCCCCTCACAGTTCTATTAATGGGAGGGTGCAGTAACCAACTGTGTCTGTCACTCATGGCTAGAAGAGTGAGAACCTTGGTCCCTGTAAGTGTCAGAAGTTAACACACTTTATCAATGTCTAAATTGAACTCTTCAAATACGATTCAAAGTTTTGACACAGCTAAGCCTGTAAGTTAAAACTTTTATTAGTGTGTTTTAAGAAAACTTTTAACCTTGTGTCTTCTTTTTGTCTTGGCGCATTTGACTTTTAAGGGCAGTTTTCAAAACTGTTAATGAATGTTCTGTTAATCAAGTCCTCTGTATATAGGAGACAACTAAGCAGATAGATAAAAGTAGAGAACTACTTTAATCAAGGATAGAGGCATTTTAGTGTATTAAAATCTCTCAAAGCTTTATGTTTTAAAGATATTTAATTGACTGCTATGTTTATGGAAATTACCATTTGGGAAAGTGTACTGGATACTCTGAGAATATAGTTTTATGAACTTTTAAGTAAAAGGAATTTAGTTTACTCCATGAGTTGTTCCCTGGAGGTTTACTGTAGTATCCCCCATCTTTAAAACTGATAAGTCTTACTTTTATTTCATCTTCTGTAACTTCTGTAGTTGGAGCATTGATGCCAACAACTCCAACGACAACATTAGTTAACAATGTTTTTCACTTAAGAAGAGAAATAGCAAAAACCACAAAGTAGTACACAAATTTAAGTAATTAAATCTCAAGAAAAGAGTTTGAATTTTAACTTTCAGGCAAATAGATGTTATTCAAAATGAAATCATTCCAGTGAGTGCTTGGGGCCTGAAATTCAAACAATTGCATAACAGGTATCTGTGTGTCACAGGTTAAATAAAATCCTCATGTAACTATGAAAAGAGATAAGTTCTCTAGTGTAAATATTGAGGGAGGAAATACCAAGGGAGGTGAAGATTAGTTATACCAGTGATTTTGCCATAGCATTTTTCACACCCCTTTTTGACTGCCTGTCTAGAATTATCTTAG